TATTTTCCATCTGTAGGTTGATCTTTATTTTTACTAAAATAACCCATTTATTATTCTCTTTTCTCTGTTAGAGAATTCAGTCATTTTTTTCTTCTATTTTTATTTTTAAGTTGGTAACCGTAGAAATAGAACAAAGGCAAGTAGAATAAAGTGATATATGATAAATAAGTAAAGGACAAGAAATAACATTATTTTTTAAATGGAACTAGTTTTCTGAAGGTTAACAAGACCAAAAAAGTTATCAATAAGTCAACGTTGGCAGCTATTTTGTTTTCTAACTCATAATAGTTTCTTTTTTTAAAAAAAGACTATTGATATAGAGATTTCACATGCATTACCTAATATGATCCTCACAATAGGATCCTCAGTTCTAAAGTCATTTTTGTAAAACAAATATTATGTCATACCCATTCTGTCATTTTATTGATTCGAATTCTTAAGACTTATTTTTAAAGATGGTTGGGAGAGGATGTACATCTTCCACTATGCCTATTTAATAACTGACTTTGAAATTTTTAAGTGGAAAAATGGGAACTTATGGCTAAACAGAATAATCAGTTGACATTTACATATATATATTTACTCAGACCATTCTCAATTCAGTGGATTCAAGAACTTGTATTCTCCTATGAGTAGAGAGAGGTTTCAGAGCTATTAGCTCTCACCAAAGTTCAGTATTTAAGGATCACCCAAATTAGCACTGTTTAATTGCAAGAGTATTTTTATTAAATCTTAAAATCATTTTTAAATCTACTTACACAGATGGAAACATTTTCATATCAGATACTTTTCCCATAGCAGCAAAATACCTGCTCTATCTGAATAAATACACTTTGGAAATTATTTATTTCAATACATTCTTAAGTTTTGCTCCACTTTTAGATTAGTTTCATTAATGATTAATATAATCATTTATATTCTAAACTAATAAAATGAATCATATGAAATATAAATGGTATAAACCTATATGCAAGCTAATCCTATATAATAAATGCCTAATATGCTAAGTGTCCGGTCGACCGGTTGGCCATTCAACCAATCAAAGCATAATATGCTAATGATATACTAAGGCTGCCCAACCACTTGCTATGACGTGCACTGACCACCAGGGGGCAGACACTCAATGCAGGAGCTGCCCCTGGTGGTCAGTGGACTCCCACAGCCAACCTCGCACAGCTGGCCAACCTCCTGCAGTCCCTCCCCTCAGCCAGCCAGCCCGGATCAGGACTGGGCTAGACGACCCTGATTGCCCCCAATCGTCCTCGATCACCAGCCAGGTCGAGGGACCCTACCCGTGATGAATTTGTGCACCGGGCCTCTAGTGACAATATAAAGTTAAATAAGATTTAAAGATAAAAATTAAAGACTTATGCAGAATAATATAATATGACTATCAAATTAATCATTTTGTTTAGAATACTGACTGGACTCAGAAAAAGGGAAAGTTGTTCAAGCCGGGGTCAAGGTCCTGGCTGGGGAGAGCCACAGGTGTGGCCAATACAGGCAGAGTTCATTGCAGAACCAAGTTCTAAGTCTCAGGACTAGGCTTGGGAACCCAGTCTCACTGGTCCCATTCACAAGATTCCAATGCAAAGTCCCTCACAGTGGCCACAAAAACATGAAATGAGTTCCCAGACTCACCAACCTAGTTTGGTGGAACTCTACTAGCAATTGTCATCTTTACTCCCGGCAAAAGCATGTGCCTATCAACAAGAGCCAAAACCTAAACTATAATTCTCAGTTACAAAATTCTGAAAACTACATTCTAAGGAAAACTGCTTCGCTGAAGGGTACTAAGGGAGAGACCAGACAGAAACATAGCATAAACAAAAGGTGTGGCAAGAGCTGATCTGAAAGAGACAAGAAACTGCCCTGTTCTTTGGGAACTGAAGCAAAGGCCAAGAGAGAACTGGAGACACAGAAATCTTATCTAAACCTGCACAGAGTTTAACAGTGTTCACACACCAACAACTGATTAATTTTACTCTCTTAAAACTGAAATGTTTATACTTCTAACAACAAATTGCCAATAACATCAAGTTCACTTCACCCTCCTTGCGGCAAAGGACTAAAGGTGTGAAAATGACAGTATCAACACCTTGTGTTTTTAGATCACATTTTTAAAAGCACTCTTGCCTATCACTGTGGTAGAATCTGCCAGACACAAAAGCTTTGTGTTAAAGGTTACTGTGCATTGTCAAACTGTATCCCAGCTCTGTGATCAGTGTGTGAAAGGGCTTTATCAGGGGAAGCAAAGGATGAACATTCTGCTTTGGAATTCAACGAGACAGAACTCCCACACCACCTTCCTTTGGGGCAGATATGAAATATTTAGTCTTCCCATGTACTTTGTAAAAATCATCTGGTTGCCTAGCATTTGCAAGACTTCCTTTCAGTTGTAAAAACAAAACAAGTAAATGTTTTAAAATATTTCCCTTAATTATCAGAAGAAATAGTCTACATACATCCTCTCCCTTCCTCATTGTTCATAATGTCCAAGAATTGTGATCTGATCGCTGGCGTCCACTTCAACTATAAATGTTTAAGAGCTGGACACCAGAACACTGATCTGGTTCTTGCCACAGGGGGTGGCAACTAACACCAGAGCAGGAGCTGAGATGTAGAGCACATGGTGTGCCTAGATCATGGGAAGCAGCTGGCGTTGAGCTATCTATGTGGCACACAGAGCTATCTATGTGGCACTTCTAGTTAATAAATACCAAGTGAAGAGGCATTTGAACTAGTAAGTCAAAAATTCACTGGCCACTGTGTAAGGATGACAGTATTCGAGCAATAGAATAGTTACAGCAATAAAACAAATCATTGGCCACCATAACTTCTAAGTGGTGACGACCCACTGTACTTTGAGCTCATTGTGAAACACTGCTTACTCACAGAGCTCAACGAGATTCCAAGTCCTTTCATTTCTACCTCAGGCCTTACCTGCAAGCAGGTGGACGGAGCTGAAGCACTTCTCCAGTTTACCCAGAAGTACAGTGAGAAAACAGTCTGAAGACAGAGAGGCAACATCCTGGGAGCTCTGATCGTAAACTACAACCTTCTGACTGCAATCAATGTCGACCTAAAATGCAAATGTGAGACTGTTAGGAAGGACAGTGAGAAAAACAATCCCAAAAACTGCTGGTGCTGAAGCAAATGAGTGCTTCCTGTTTTCAATTAAAAATTTGAAAAAAAAAAAAGATACAGTCAACTTACTGGATAAACCTAGCATATATATGGTTTAAATGCTTGTAAAAATCAACTTTTACAGGCAACTTGATGCTATTTCTGTGTAGATGTGCTAGAAACTACTTGGTTTTAAATCCTTAACACTATAAAAGGGTAAAGCATAAAAACAAAATAAACATAACAGTCCTTGAAATAAAAACATTTAAAAATGGTTTCTATATAACAAAGAAATCAGTTGTTTAATAAAATTAAAACATGAACTCACTTTGATTCCTGAAGAAAAGAAATAGCCTTATCCATCACAAATGGTATTTTGGATCCTAGGAATAACTCCTTGAGGATAATATGCTTACGTCCTGACCAATGTTACCTTATTTTCCCATAAATCAAAAGCACTTTCTAATATAATTTTTCTGTCTTTCCAAGGCAATTGAAAAGAATGATTTCCTTTCAGTAAATTTGTAGGTAATACCAAATAATGTATTAATATCTTGTCAATACATATTCTATTACATGTTAATACATAATTACCAATAAAGTAATTATTAATAATATAATTAACTATAACTTTGTATGTGTTTAAATTAAAAAAAAACAATTTTAACAAGTAATTAATGGAAAAACAGCCCCTGACCAAATTAAAACAAGTTAACCTCTCTGTTTAGTTTAGAAGTATTCTTAAATGTGACAGTTTAGTTAATAAATTTCTTGAGGCATCATAAGGTACCAAAGTTTAAAAAGCAATCAAACTTCCTCAAATTATTTTCTCCCCTTAAAAAGGAGGCTTTGTTTAAAATTATTCCCCATTCAGTGTGTCCATTTATTCTAAAAAGGAAAAAAAGAAAGCATTTACCTTATGTTTTGCTGAATGCTGGATGAGTTCTGTAATTAACACTTTGTCCTGTTGCAACCTTCGCTTCATAAGCTTGGAACAGTTGATATTAATGGCTTCCAAAATGTGGGATGTATTGTATTCCACAAATGGCCGGCTATCAATTAGCAGCACTTTTTCCGTCCCACTTTCCAGCAGAGCCACCAAGCTCTCAGTAACAATTTGAGTCCCAATCATCTCATGGGCCATGGCAACAATAAGTCCTCTTTTCCCACCTCCTCCTTTAATTTGCCACGATGATGTAATGGTGGTGTGCTCAAAGGCTCAGCCACTCCATTGTACTGACATGTATGAGGTCAGGCTGGTGGTAACTGGCAAAAGGAGAGTTAAACCCATTTTCAGCAAAAGCCCTCCAAGTGAATGTCTCTTTCTCTTTCCGTTGATGTGCCCTTGCAAAGGACTCCGTCCACAAAGCAGCCCCTCACACTTGATTCATAAAGAGATGACTGGAATAACCATCCCACAACAAAAGATGCTTTGGGGCAGCCAGTGCATTACGTCATTCTTTACCTTTGCTCCCCCGCTCCAACAGCTTGGCACTGGGCTGAAAAGCCTACATGAAGAGAGACAGACAGACAGAAAACAAAACAGGGGGTCAAAAAAAAGAAAGAGCGTCGGATTAGAGAGAGTATATGATTCACAATATTTACTCCATTAATCTGATTCCATACTTGATGCACTGTTTCATTTGAACAAACAAACAAAAAGGACAATTGGGTATGGCTTCAGAAAAGCATTCTAATGATAATTCGGTTTCAACTCAAAATATGAAAACACAGAGAAGACAAAACAAGACACATTCTTGAATTATAATCACCAGGGGCCTGGAACGAAATGAGTTATAGCAAGAAAATTAAAAGAGCTATATAAAGCTGCTTGAAGTTTTATTATTCCAAATGGTTATCCTCCCTTTTCTTTGCTTATTTCTTTAAAAAGAACACAAAAGAACAATAACCTACAACCAGGGTAGCAATCCCCTATTTTCAGAACAAAAATATTTTCTGGCAGCCACGCCCCTCCAGGAGCCGGGCGGCCTCGGTGGGAGGCGGAGCCCGGGTGGCCGTGCACCATGGGGAACAAGCAGACCATCTTCTCGGAGGAGCAGCTGGACAACTACCAGGACTGCACCTTCTTCAATAAGAAAGACATCCTGAAGCTGCACGCGCGGTTCTACGAGCTGGCCCCCGACTGGTCCCCATGGACCACAGGAAGAGCCCCATCGTCCACGTGCCCATCCAGGTGCCAGAGCTCCGGGAGAGCCCATTCAAGGAGCGGATCGCGGAGTCCTTCTCGGAGGACGGCGAGGGCAGCCGCACCTTCGAGGACTTCGTGGACATGCTCTCGGAGTTCTGCCAGTCGGCGCCCCGCAACCTCAAGGCCAACCACGCCTTCAAGATCTACGACTTCATCTGCGAGGAGGACCTGGAGATGATGCTGACCAAGTCGGAGCTGGAGGAGGACGAGGTGTGCGACAAGGTCATCGAGGAGGCCGACCTGGACGGCGAGGGCAAGCTGGGCTACTCCGACTTCGAGGACATGATCGCCAGGCACCCAAGTTGCTCAGCACCTTCCATGTCCGGATCTGAGGACAGCCGAGGTCTCGGCCCCGACGCCCACCATCCGTCCACCTCTGCTGTCTGCACAGTTTTGACCTCCCAGCTCCCAGGATGGGAGCTGCAGGCTCCGGGGCTGACACACCTATCAACATTTCCTCGGCCCTTTCAACAAAAAATCCTTCACGGGGGAAGGGGGACGGGAGGAGCAGGGCTTGCCAGGCCCCTGTGGTCCAGCCCAGGCCCCATGGACCCTCGCCGGCCCTCCCTCTGCCCCCGACCACCCCTGTGCCTGGTCCTCTCCCCTCAGAAATGCACACACACACCCTCCGCCAGGGGAAGGCCCGGCACCTGAGGGGAGTGGGGAGAACCGACCTGTCCATGTGCTAGAAACACAATCGGGCCACCCAGGGCAAAGGGAGGAGACCACAAGATTTTTTAAAAATATATTTTTATTGAATTCAGAGAGAAAGGGAGAAGGACACAAAGAGAGATACATCAACGATGAGAGAGAATTATTGATTGGCTGCCTCCTGCACGCCCCCTACTGGGGATGGAGCTCACAACCCGGGCATGTGCCCTGACCAGGAATCCAACCGTGATCTCCTGGTTCACAGGTCAATGTTCAACCACTGAGCCACACCAGCTGGCTGGGCGAGGATGAGATTTTCATGAACTATGCAATCTTTATTTTTGTTGTTGTTTTATTTTATTTTATTTCTTTATTAAAGTTTTACATGAGTCTCCTTTTTTCTCTCATTGACCTCTCCCCCGCTACCCCCTCCCCCAAGCACAAGCCCTCATCCCCCCTCAGTGATGGCGAACCTATGACACGCGTGTCAGAGGTGACACGTGAACTCATTTTTTTGGTTGATTTTTCTTTGTTAAATGACATTTAAATATATAAAATAAATATCAAAAATATGTCTTTGTTTTACTATGGTTGCAAATATCAAAAAATTTCTATTTGTGACATGGCACCAGAGTTAAGTTAGAGTTTTTCAAAATGCTGACACGCCAAGCTTAAAAGGTTCGCCATCACTGGTCTATGTCCATTGGTTTTGCTCATATGCATGCATATGGTACAAGTCCTTTGGTTGATCCCTTACCTCCACACCCCCTGCCTTCCCTCATAGGTTGGACAGTCTGCTCCATGCTTCTATGTCTCTGGTTCTATTTTTGTCCATCAGTTTATGTTGTTCATTATAATCCACAAATGAGTGAGATCATGTGATATTTCTCTTTCTCTGAGCGGCTTATTTCGCTTAGCATAATGCTCTCTAGTTCCACCCATGCTGTTGCAAATGGTAAGAATTCCTTTTTTTACAGCAGCGTAGAATTCCATTGTGTAGATGTACCACAGTTTTCTAATCCATTCGTCTGCTGATGATTCACAGACTTGTGGACAGTGCACACCCGTGAGGATGCCTCGTGGTTGGGAAGGGCGGGCACTGGGACAGGGCCCTGGGGCCCACGGTTCACGTAGCTTCACACTGGGAAGGGTGGGAAGGCGCAGCCAAGCCGGGGGGGTTGGGAGAAATCACAGCCTATGCAATCTTTCTATGCAAATCTTTTCTCCACCCCCAGGGGCTGGGATGTCCCCCCTGCCTCAAATATATTTTCATGCCTCCCCCGCCCCTTCCCAGTGTGAAGCTATGTGAAACCGCGGGCCCCAGGGCCCTCTCCCAGTGTCCACCCTTCCCAACCACGAGGCATCCTCACGGGTGTGCACTGTCACAAGGCTGTGAACTGAGAGTAAAGGGCTTTCCTGTCCAAAAAAATAATTTTTTGATGGTTTGAGAATTACTATAATGGTAATCACAGTACACACACACACACACACATACGTACATACACGAAGGAGCAAATAGCACACACTCCTTTAAATTGCCCTCAGGAAAGAGAGGAGAGGCAGGGAAACGGGAGGTTCTATAAATTCCAGTTGCCTTTTACGAAAGAGATTAAAATGGCTGATGTCCTTGCCATACCAACTGCTGAGCTAACTGATGGGGCCTGTGATATACCCAGCTCCATCCAAGACAGTCTCAGCTATAACCCTGGCCAGTCCCCCAAATTCCCCTGGAGTTCCCTGAACCTTTATAGCCTGGTGCCTCATTCTTTTTTTTAAAATATATTTTATTGATTTTTTTACAGAGAGGAAGGGAGAGGGATAGAGAGCCAGAAACATCGATGAGAGAGAAACATCGATCAGCTGCCTCTTGCACACCCCCTCCTGGGAATGTGCCCGCAACCAAGGTACATGCCCTTGACCGGAATCGAACCCATGACCCTTCAGTCCGCAGGCCGACGCTCTATCCACTGAGCCAGACTGGTTAAGGCTGGTGCCTCATTCTTAAGAGAATCACTGACTCCAACCTTAGAAAATCTCACACCCTAAACGTGGGACTCTAGGACAGCAACCTACACATAACAAAGCCCTTCACACTAGAACCAATGCTTCCCTGTCTTGCCAAACTCCTATAACCAACCATTTTCTAATTGACACTAGTTGGAGTTTTGTGTCCACAGCTTGGACCTCACTCTGACCTTCAATATTCTCAGATTCCTATCTCCCCTGGTCCATCTGTTTATATGAAATTCTCTACTCCATAAAACTAGATGTCTATGGGCATTCAACTTCTTGAGGATAAACTACTTGATGGCAGAGGTTTTGTATTACATTTCTTACCTCCACAGTGTTTTGCACTTAAGATAATTTGCAGTATTATAAGTAAAATCCTCCTTTTCCCAAAAACAATGTAAGATATTGAGTAAACATCTGATTAACTGATTTCAGATCAGGAAGGTAGGGCCCTCAAACATCACCAGGTCCCACTTCCTAATTTTAGACTTACAAATTAGAAACTGAGGCACAGAGAAGAGGTAGGAGAACACAAAGAGAAGTGGCCTGGCCATGTACATGTTACATAACTTTGGACAAATCATGTCATCTCTCTGAACCACAGTTTCCTCATCTAGAACATGTGGATGTAATACTGGCCTTGTCTCCTCACAGTTTGTTTTTAGGACAAAATTATCTAGGTTCTCTAAATCGAGTAAGTGAAAAAGCAACTACACATTATACAGGGAAAGGAGGGGAAATGATGAACAGGGCGGCCCTGCATCTGGAATCTAAAAGACACCACTCAGCAGCTAAAAACAGAAGCTACTCCTTCCTCCCACAGTCCAGCTTCAACCAAGCTGTGTCCTTCATATGGAGCCAGACACACAGTGAGAAGGCACCTGAGAAATCATCTCATCACCCCCACATTTTACAAATCAGCTCCACAGACTACATTATTTATCCAATTCTTGTCTTCATTATATTAAGGTATTTATTTTTAGTATAGCTTAATGGCAAGAGGCACAAAAGTCATCTCCATCTTCAAATGAAGAAGCCAGGGCAGAGAATTTGTCCTAGTCAGTCAACTAACGCACTTGCAAAGCACCTGCCAAGGATAGAGCACTGAACCAAATCAAGTCCTGACTGCTCGGTGACACAGTCCACAGCTATGTAAGGTCCTGTACGCAGACTGTCTGATTCCCAAAGCAGGGCTCCTACTACTGGGTTACCCTGTTTTCCCTAAGTGCCCGTCCCATAATGACACTGAACTAAGAAAGAATGACGCGACTTGTCCATGAGGGTGCCCGGGTGGCACAGAAAGTGGAAATCTGAGAACAGGAGCAAGTGGACTCCAACAATGGCTCCGAGTCTCCAAGTCTGATTGGCTCCTCGCAACGATAAAATCCGGAGGGGACAAAGCAGTTATCTGGGTTAGCAGATCAATGGACAAAGGGAGGGAGATGACAGCAAACATGCAAAAGCTGACTTAGAAAGTTCTCATCTTTGCTTCCCTTCAGCCGAATCTCATAAGTCCAAATCACTGAAACCAACGATAGGTTATGGCAAACAGTTTGCCAGGCAGAAAACAGTCATTCTAACCCAGAGAACCAGAGTCAGTAGTTCCACATACAAAAAAGACACTTTCCTGACCAAGCAAAGGTCTGGTCAAAGTGAGCCTAAGAGGAGAATGTAATCGAGGCAAAGGATGGAAGTGACATGAGGATCCCTGTCCCAAGGCCAGCTGGAGCCCTCCTGTTATGCCTTTATGCCCAACGTCTGATCTTCCCCAAATCGATTATGGGAGAGGCACGCATGCTGTCGTCTCCCTTCAGAAGACAACTAAATAACACTTTCCTATACATACAATAAACTTTCTATTTCTCTACAATAAAGAAGTCAACAAACTAGTACTTATCATACTAAAGACCAGTAACCTTAACCAAGGCCATGAAACAAATATTTGCAAAGTATTTCACTTTCAGAAGTAAAAGTTTTTTAAAACTTTATTTACAAAGGTTTAGAGATAGGCTAAGGCAACATTTTAGTATAGCAAAATGACTATACAAATCAGGGAAAAAAATGGGCAAATCCTCTTAAAAATGCCAATTTGGGTAGAGCTTACATTCCAGCAATTTGTCTTATATTTTAGAACATTTAATATTAACATGAGTTGTGTAAGAGCCTTTCCCCTTTAATACACAATTTTTAAAGTTTTTCTGTGTCATTTATTTTATGTTTTAGACTCCCTTTGGTTTCATATAGAAATGTATCTTTGATTTTATAATGAAAATCGAGAGTTTTATCTACTGAAATTCACTCTGCATCCAACTTTGCAAGAATATCAATGAAATAAAGTATACTACTGCCCTGGCCAGTGTGGCTCAGCTGATTGGGTGTTGTTCTGTGCACCAGAAGGTTGCTGGTTCCATTCCCAGTCAGAGCACATGTCTAGGTTGTGGGCTCGATCCCAGGGAGTGGCGGAGGGGGCGTGCAGGACGCAAGCCGATTGATGTTCTGCTCTCAGATAGATGTTTCTCTCTCCCTTTCCCTTCCTCTCTTGCTGGGGTCCAGCCCCAGCGGTCCAGGGGTTCCCAAAGGTATGGACGGAGTCGGCGAAGAATGTTTTACACGGAGACAGTGTTCAGAACTCTCTAGCTTTCCTTAGTCTCCGTGGATCTTCTCTGTGCCT